TGGGAGCGTGGCCGTGGGGAGACCAGGTATATTATTTTACTCTTTAGGCAGATAAGCTCTCCCTCCTCCCCCGGATCCAGACTGTACAAGTTCATATTCCAGCCTTCCTTGGGCAGGGGTGGTGGGGGAGCTGATGGACAGCAAAGAAAAAGTGTGGTCCTTTCCTCTTGGCCTCAAGGGCTTTCCCAGTGTTATTGGAGGTGCACATCCTGTCACATGCTCCCTGGAAAATTAAGGCTAGGCAAAGCGCTAAGATCCGTCTTAGAGAGCCAAGCCCTGTGCCTGTGTGAGTGGGTCACGACTCCATGAGAAAAATGATCAGGCAGCTGAGGCTAAAAAAGAGTGGATTTCTAAAGCCCCGTGTCGTTTATCCATTCTACAAGCACTTTTTACGCCGTTTTGTGCTGGGTACTGCTAGGTGCGGTGGACACAGAATCGTATGAGATGGGCTTTGCCCTGTAAGGAGCTCCATGCTTCAGTGCGTTGTGGAGCCTCCCGTGGTATGCTCGAAGAAAAGCAGCTGTGAGAAGTGTGGGGAGACAAAGGAGGGAGAGCCTGATTACCTGCTGGGGTGGGCGTGTTCTTCCCACTGTGGCCCTTTAGTTTGGGCAAAGCTTTGTCATTGAATCTCTGTTCTTTGTAGTTCTATATTAAACCATTTACAGTCAAATGCTCTGTCTTTCATTATATTGAGCCTACGCGGAATAAATGTTTTTCTTACGGGGTAGGAGCCTGTGTAGTTCACTAAGACGGAGTAAGGCTGAAGCTTGTCTGTCCAATATTCGGTTGGGTAGTTCGTCACAACAGAAGAGGGAAAAAAATAGGTCAGAAAATATCTAAGAAATACAGCCCTAAAATAGCCAAAATTTGAATTGTCACGTCTGAGGACTTAGAATCTAAATCTTAGATGGTAATTGGAAATAACTTTTGAAATTAGTTCACTTTTTTGATAACTGAATGGTGATGGTTTTGAAAAATCTTGTTGAATTTCTGCTCTTCACACATTTGCTGAGCATCTCTATGTGGCAGGCATTGTGCCGACACGCAGTCACGAAGATGAAAAAGTACCATCTTGCTCATATCTTGCGGACATAGGCAATTTCAGCCCAATAATGTGATGGCGGAAGCCATCACAAAATGCTGCAGGAATCTAGGGGAAGGAGCATTTAAGGCATATCAAGGAACTGCTAGGACCTCAGATCACTGCCCTTTTCGCCCAAGGTTCATTTTGTATATTCTCTTTAATTTGTCCTTCCTGCCTCCCCCAGGTTACCAAGTGACAGGGGTGTTTATGAAGAACTGGGACTCACTGGACGAACATGGAGTTTGCACAGCTGACAAGGACTGCGAAGATGCTTACAGAGTTTGCCAAATCTTGGACATCCCTTTCCACCAGGTGTCCTATGTGAAGGAGTATTGGAACGATGTGTTCAGGTGAGAACCTTCCCATGTGCTGCGCGTCCTTCCAGTCCCGTCGTGGTCCATCCGACTGACTTGTGCCACCTGCGCTCTTCAGCAGTGATACCAAAGAACGTGTGTGGGAGGCCTCAGCCACCCTCGAGGGACTCTGTGTGAGAGGCCAGGCCTGGATCCCAGAGCACCCCAAGCTCTTATTCCTGTTATTTTGCCACCTTCCAGAAGGTCTCTTTAATGCTTCTTGAACCTTGAGATGTTTCTGCTGCCGAATTAGAGTAGGGGAGCTAAGGCCGCGGTCTCCCCTGGAAGGTGCCGTGAGGGGAGTGGCCACACCCGTGCAGGGGTACACTTCATCTGTGGTGGCAACAGCTCCACGTTCACGTCCCGCCAAGGAATCCTGCTCGGAACCTCGGAGTTCTCCAAGGGCAGGAGTCGTTTCCACTGTGGCGTCCCCAGTGCATGAAGCTATCTGAGGAACTCAAAGTGCTTCAGTGTGTGGCATTTTCTCCCAACTTCTTAGAGCGACCTAGGAGATATCAGTGTGCCTGAGCCAGGTTACTGGGTTGTCATGGCCCCGAGCCATGGCGGGAATACACCGGGCAGCCTAGTCTTCAGTGAACAAAGTCCTGCCGTGTTTACGGGCTGGGAAGGGTCATCAGGGATGCTCTGTTCACCTCCTGTCCCTTCTCTCTTGCAGCTGATAGACCTGTGTTCTCCTCTGATCCAGCTGAGTCCCGAGGCGGACAAAGAAAACATGGACTCGCCACTTCTCAAGTTCTGAGCAGGAAAACGCTTTGCATCTGACTCTTTGTTACAAGAACAGCCTTAACGTGGTACTCAGCTTAGAAATAAACTTAGGAGGAATCGTACTGGGAAAAAATTGTTTTAGAACCTAAGTAAAATGGCTACGCTTGGGGAGGCAGGCTGCGGGACCAGAGGCCTGTCTGTGCCCACGTGCGGCCACTGCTGTCCAGCGGCTGCTGCCCTCGCTGCCCCGCACACTGCGCTGGACTACAAATTGGAAGTCTCCAAGTGCAGAATTTTGTCTTGAATCTTTTGTATGTAAAATAGCAAGTGACTATTTCAAAAACTAAGTTTGTATGAAAAGTTAAGTATTCTAGATTTAAGTTGAATTGTAAAATAAATTATATCAAAGCATACCTTCATTTTAAAAATTAGCTTGATTTTCAAATATATATAGCCATGCTATTTTTATTGCTAATCAATATTGCAAGATTTACATTATCCAAACTTCAGAATTGAGTGTGGCTATTGATGGATGGACCTTGAGGGCATTATGCTAAGTGAAATAAGTCAGACTGAGAAAGAATCACCATATGATCTCACGTGTGCAATCTTTCAAAAATAGATTGGTGGTTGCCAGAAGTGGGGGGCGGGAGTAGGGGGTGTGGGGAGCGGGTGAAGGTGGTCAAAAGGTACAAACCTGCAGTTATTAAAAAAACAAGTTATGGAGATATAATGGGGAAAAAATTGGTGTGAATAAAAACTGGTTGAAGTGCAGACTCCCTCCCAGAAGCTCCCATTTCCTCGGGGGACGATCTCAGGTGCTTCATTATCTGCCGGTTTGTGAAGAGTCCACCTACCCACACTCCTGTGGGTGCTGGGCGTGCAGCCGTGAACGACACACCCTGTCCCGTGTAGCACACGCGCGCGCACACACACGTCGGTACTGAGTGTTAGGCAGCTGAGCGCGCCCAGGAAGGAAAAGGACAGCGGAGCGTGGACTCGGGCGGACGACGGGGCTCAGGAATGGAAGTGCGGCGAAGGGCTGACCAGGCGGAACGCGGCCGTCCGGCACTCACTTCCGGCCGGACCACAGCCGCGTCGCAACGGGGGCGGGACTTCCGGCGCGGCGCGGAAGCGGCGGCGATAGTTGGAGAAGTTGACGGCGCGCAGATGCTGGCGGCGCGGCACGTCGTGTGCGCCCTGTCCGGCGGCGTGGACAGCGCCGTGGCCGCGCTGCTGCTGAGGCGGAGAGGTGAGGCGGCCCTGTGTGCAGTGTCTCGCTCCCGTCCTGCGTGGCCTTGGGCGTCGCCTCCTCTGGGACCGAGGTCCCCACTGCTTCGGGCCACTTAGGCCGCCAACCGCCCAGGTTGCCGACGCCGCGGACGGTGAATCTCCGACTCGGGCCGCGTGCGGAGCGATTCCCCGGCTCCGAGGTTCCGCGCCCGGGGCGGCGGCGGCGTCCGCCCTTAACCTGGGAGGCCACGCGCAGTCGTGAGGGGAGCTGACCTCTGGGCACAGCGGCCGGTCCGTAGAGGTCCTGTCCTTTTGAGTCCCGAGGCGGCCGCCAGGCGACGTGTGCGACGGAGTACCGATGGGCGGTCTGCGCCTTAAAGGTCGTCTGTGTTCTCCGTCCAGTGGATGACAGACACTTCCTCAAAAGCACTAGCGTTTCCTCCAGACACGTCAAGGGCACCGAGAGTAACTGCCAGTCCGAATTCTCTGTCTGCGCGGCCCTCCCTCATTGCGAGGCCTCACCCCTCAGTGGCGTCCGTGGAGCCTCCGCCCTGGGCCACCTTTGGTGCTAGGCCCTTGGAATGCAGAGCGGGTGCGGGGTTCTTGCCCCTCCGTAATGGAGATGACACCTACCTCACCGGGGTACTGGAAGGGTTAAATGACATAATATATGTAAAGCGTTTACGTCAGTGTCCAGCACCTATCAGATATTCAGAAAACGTTAGTGGCCGTTAGTACATATTCTTCACAATTGTAGCTATTAGGTATGATAAATAAAAAGTGCTAAATAGAATTGTAGGCAAACTAAGCGTTTACAGTTGCGAGGAAGGGCGAATGAACGCATCTTGGACGTGGTGCTGTTTGAGCTGAGGCTTGAAGGAAGAGTAGGATTTCACTGGGCAGAGAATTGCGGGTGTGCTGGCCGCAGGCAAGCACAGGGGCACGGGAGTGTTGGCTGGAATCTGGCCAGAAGGAGGTGGCAGGAGACGGGGG